CCTTCAACACGCCCACAACTCGGGCCATACATCAAATCACGATGGAAATCAAGCACCGGATAGTTCTTACTACCCCCAAGCAGACCCTTCTCGTCTCATTCAAAACATATGAACATATCTCGCAGTCACATCATACTCATCACATAGTCATCCAGCCATCAGTTCCACTAATAGGGATGCTATCGAACATATAAATTCAAAAAGCACGTGCTCAGACAATCAGCACCTCAGTGCTCAAGCTACAGGCAAAACCCAGCCTCAAGTCCTCTAGACTAGGCCAACATCATCACACAGAGGTCACATCTCGCCCCTCGATCAGGGAATCACAAGCCGTCGACGCACAGCTGATACCGTGCGCTTATACGCGCATACGAACACTTGAAAAGAATTCAAAGAGTTACATTTCAAGCTGAATCAAGGAAACACGATAACAATTTAAGAATGTGAAGTTTTTCCTAAAGGTTCTACAGCCTCCCGAGGATAAGTACAGACGTCTCTGTACCAGTCCGCGAGACTCTACTAAACCTGCTCATGACTCGTGAGACCTATGTAACCTAGGCTCTGATATCAACTTGTCACGACCCTAAATCCGACCCGGTCGTGATGGTGCCTATCGTGAAACTAGGCCTGCCGACACAACTCCCGAATTAACCATTTAATCAATAACAATCATTTTAAGCCTTTAATAAATCAGATATCTCACAATATAAGTCTAAATGAATAGTGCGGAATACATACACAAGCTCGACATCGGGGTTTCACAAGTCACGAGCATCTACTAAGGTCTGAATACAACAAAGAGTCTAAAAATGTACTAAATACAGTCTAAGGAAGACAAGAGGGAGAAAAGCAGTGCTGCGAACGTCGGGCAGCTACCTTGCTAACTCCAATGACTCTGCCACTGAGCAATCAACCCCAGCTACCGGGTTCAGAACTACCTGAATCTGCACATAAAGTGCAGGGTGTAATGTGAGTACGCCAACTCAGTAAGTAATAAAAGAAAATGAAAGCTGAGCAGTAAGAAAACACGTAAACCACGTCATAATGCTACAATAAATACAGTACATTTCCAAAATAGTGCAGAAATAATTTATTCCGTAAATCGAACTCAGCTTCCGTAAAAAAAAACTTTTAAAAACATCTTTCAATAGTTTCAAACGAGTGATAAAAACAGTGAGTAAAAATGATAGAAACGTAACAGCCCCTCGGGCAAATCATGTATCATAAACCACCCCTCGGGCATAATATCAAACAACAACAGCCCCTCGGGCTACCTCACAATCACTCGTAATCAGCCCCTCGAGCATAACATGAATCCAGAACCGCCACTCGGGCAATATATGAAACAACAACAGCCCCTCAGGCTACATCACATCACTCACACTGGGTACCCGCGCTGACTGAGGGGGTGTACAGACTCCGGGAGGGGCTCTTTACAGCCCAAGCGCTATCACAAGCCATCTCGTGGCATAATCAAACAGGCCCTCGGCCTCATAACAATCACAAGCCACCTCATGGCATAATAAATCAGTCCCTCGGCCTCTTACATATCACAAATCAGTACCACATGATACGGCTCGCAGCCCGATCCAATGATATCCTCACAACACAGGCGCTCAGCCTCACTCAGTCAGATCTCACTCAAGCCTCTCGGGCTGACAGTAAAACAAGTACTCGGCTCAAATATCATTTATGAAATTAAAAGGAGTGAGTAAAATCGAGTTATGAAAACAGTAAGAACATAACATAACTGAGTGCAAATATCAACCAAAAACAGTGAGGAAAACGTTAGTAAAAGCCCCTAAGGGTCTAAACAATCGGCACAAAGCCCAAACACGGCATTTAGCCCCAAACACAATAATACTTTCCAAAATATAATAACATCAAATAGTTTCCAAGTAAATACGCGACTTAATAGTCGTACGGGACGGACCAAGTCACAATCCCCAACGGTGCACGACCCCACGTTCGTCACCTAGCGTGTGCATCACCTCAAAATAGCACAACAAAGTGAAATCCAGGGTTTGATACCCTCGGGACAATATTTACAATCATTACTTACCTTAAATTGGTCCAAACTCTAGTCCGCGATGCCTTTGCCTCTCGAATCGGCCTCCAAATGCTCTAAATCTAACCAAAATCAGTATATTATCATCAATATACGCTAAAGGAACAAAGCCCAAGCGAAAATAATCAAATTAACTCAAAAATCCCGAAATTGGCTCAAACCCGGCCCCCGGGCCCACGTCTCGGAATCCGATTAAAATCAGAAAACTGGAAAACCCATTCGCTCACGAGTATACCCATATCAAATTCACCAAAATCCGACATAAGATGGCCATCTAAATCCCCAAAATCAACTCTCCAAACCTTCCTCCATTTTTCTCATTTTTCACCCCAAATTCCCAAATTAAATTTTAATAATCAAGACATAATCATGAGATTTAACCAAATTTGAATTAAGAACACTTACCCCAATCAATCCTCTGAAAATCACTTCAAAAATCGCCTCAATCCGAGCTCCAAAGCTTCAAAAATGCAAAAACGACCGAAATCCTCGAAATAGAGTACTTTATAATCTGCCCAGGCATTTACCCTATGCTATCACGGACAAACTAATGCGATAGCGAAGCACAAAATTTTCCAGTTTTTACCCTATGCAATCGCGGCCATTCACCGGCGATCGCGTAGAATAAAATTTTCCAACAGCCTTCTCCAACTCTTCCGGACAGCCTCTAGTATAATGGTCATAACTTTTTGTACGAAACTCCAAATTACAATTGGTTTAACTTTTTGAAAACTAGACATCAAGGGCTACAGCTTTGAATTGGATCATCTTCTAATTCCTTATAGATTGTGAGATATAAGCTTCCAAAGTTGGGTCAGTGCAGCAGAGATTTTACTCTACGCGATCGCGGGTGGACTTACGCAATCGCATAGCACAACTCCATTTTTCCAAATTTTCTCTATGCTAACGCGGTCAGATCTATGCTAACGCACTGTACACCCCTGAAGCCAAAACCAACAACTAGAAATGGTCTGAAAGCACCCCGAAACTCACCCGAGGCCCTCGGGACCTCAACCAAACATGCCAAATCATCCCATAACATCATTTAAACTTGTTCCAACCTTTGGAACGCTCAAAACAACATCAAAACATCGAATCACCCTCGGATTCAAGCCTAAGAATTCCAAAACTTCCTAATTCCGAATTCGATCAAAAAGTCTATCAAACCTCGTCCGAATGACCTGTAATTTTGCACACACATCACAAATGACACAACGGACCTACTCCAATTTTCAGAATCCATTCCGACCCCGATATCAAAATTTTCACTTGTCGACTAGAAAATGCCAAATTTCCAATTTCGCCAATTCAAGCCTAAATCTACCACGGACCTCCAAAATACATTCCGGATGCGCTTCCAACTCCTAAATCACCTAACGAAGCTAACCAAATCATAAAGTCCAAATCCGAGATCGAATGCTAAAAAGTCAAAACTTGGTCAAAACTTTCAAATTTAAAGCTTCAAACTGAGAATTGTTCTTCCAAATCTTTTCCGATTATCTTGAAAACCAAAATCGACGATTTACACAAGTCATAATACAACACACCGGGCTAGTCATGCCCGAGAACTGGCGAGCGAAGTGCAAAAGCTCAAGACGACCGGTTGGGTCGTCACATCTGATCCCTAATTTTAGGACAAATAAATTAGGCAAAACTATTAACGGAAAATCACCAAGAAATAGACATGCAAGAACATAGAGGAGTTTTTTAAACAAAAATAAGAAAAGTATAAACAGATTTTTTAAAAGATCTAAAACCCTAACGTTTAGGGTAAATAAGAATAGAAAAAAAAAATCTCAGAGATTCGTACATATAGAGAGGAAAAATGAACACAGATGAGAAAAGGAAGGTTCGAACTAGATTTGGTCCGAAAATAGAGAGATTAGCTTGTCATGTCAGCAACCAACTAAACAATACCATAATCGAGTAGCCAGTAGTGAGATAAGATCAATAAGGAAAGGAAATCCCCGATTGATTCCATATCTGGTTGGAATCGAAAGAGATTAGGAGTGACGGCGCTAGGGTTTAAGAATAGGAGGAGAGGAGCATTTGGGGGTAGGGCTGTGCACGGATCGGATCAGATCGAATTTAGCATATTTCGGATTTGGATTTTGGATTCTGAAAAGGGCTATCCGAATCCGCTCCGAATTAACATTGGATCGGATCGGATTTTAATCTTTGGATCGGATAATTTTTCGGATTGTCGGATCAGATTTTCACTCAATTAAGTCATGCTCATTACTCAGAATTCATCAATACTTACCATTCACCATAGACATTTTAAAAGCTGCTGAATTAAGTCATACTCACAAGATTACTAAAAAGCTGCTAATTAAGTCCTAATTTAACACCATTGAAAACTTATCCAGCTTCAACACCCTTCAATCCTTCAATCCTGCTTTTATCACTTTTGGATAGTGTCCCTCCAAGGCAAAAATCATCTACTGATGAATGATTTCACAATTCACAACATACAAATGAGAAAAGGTAATGTCATATACAATACCGCAGGCAGATCTCATTAGGTTGTTGGAACTGACAATTGATTGAATTAGAATCAAAAAAATTGAGACAATAAACACCATTCATCTCCTAAAACACTATTCAATTAGAAAACATCATTCATCTCCTAAAACAGTTCAACGACTTCTTCGAATAAACAAACCACAATCTGAAATATTACATAATGCAACAATTGTCTTTCAAAGCAAACCAAACTGAAGACCCCAAACAAAACACAATCAATTGTCTTCCAAACCATACTATCATAACAAAATAAATCAAACCAAACTACTAAAGTCCCCAACAGTTCTTTAACAGATTACACAAACCAAAAGAGTTCCAAATTCCAACTTTTGGGAAGCCGCAACAGTCAACACAACCAGCAACCAGGCCAAATGTAGCTCTCAATCTCAGATTCTCAGTAGGACTGTGAGACAATCAGTTAAAAATTTGCAATTTCAAACAATTCGAAGAGCCTTTTCAGAGAAAGAAGAAGACAGTTCAAGGCTTCAAGCTATCCAGATTCCAGAAACATACAACAAAACAAGAAGCAAGTGTATAATGAAAACCTGAGCTTGTACAACAAATGGAAAATCACTATATGTCGACAATGTAAGGCTCTCTTCCCATATTAATAAATTCTGTATAATAAGATAGTAACACAAGAAATTAGTTTAGCAGTAATCTAAATAAACATACAAATAAAGTATACATTAAACACAAGTAATAAGATAGGCTTACCAGCTTCAAGTTGTTCAAGATTATCTAAATCTTCTTCAATTTTAACCGGAGTTGTTGATTCATTCCGAAGCCAATCTTGGACACATACAAGACCTTGAACTAATCTAGGAGTCAATGAACTCCTAAATGGATCAAGTATGCGTCCGCCGGTGCTAAAGGCTGATTCTGAGGCAACACTAGAAATCAGAATGGCTAGCACATCACATGCCATCTCAGCAAGAGTGGGAAATCTAGGTGAGTTCAACTTCCACCACCCCAAAATGTTAAACTTTTCATGGTCTTCCTCAACATCTTCACCCAAATATTTATCTAACTCCGTTTTAGAGTCCACTCTGCCACATTTCTTATGCTTCTTTAAATCTAGCATGAATTTTGAGAGCAATGATGAAGAAGATGGAGAAGATGGACCAGAAGATGGACATGAACCAGAACCACCATTTTTCATTGCATACACATTGAACAAAGTATCCATGTATGTTTTCACATCCTCTTGTATTTTCAAACCTACGGTTTCTCCAAACATAGCAGCAAGCGCAAATGAAAGAGTATTAAACTTATGGCGTGGATCAAGCACACATGAGATAAAAATCATTTTTTTCATCTTATGTGGATCCCTCCAATACTTGTCAAATTTCTCTTTCATATTCTTTGCCATTTATCTCAAGAAAGCATCTTCATTTTGCATCAACTCTTTCAAAAAAGAATCAACAACACATATTTCAAGAAGGTGCACATTAGACGTAATATAAAGTGTACCTGATACTTTCAAGGTGAGTTCATAAAAAATTTCCAGAAACTTCACAATACGTCTTACACTATCCCAATCACTACTTAAAAGTGGACCTGCAGGTTGTCCATCCTCACAAATGCAGTTAGAAATACATGACATCAAACCATAATCAATATCACAATATTTTGTGAAGGCTTCCTCATAAACTGTAGCAACCTTTAACATCAAATATGTGGAGTTCCACCTAGTAGGAACATCCAAGCACAATGATTTTTTAGAAGTTAACCTATCAAGATCACAACATTCTTTAAACTTTTTCCATCTTGCGGGAGATTGTCTTATACACCTAACAGCTTGTCTTATTCATTCAACAGACACACTCCCTTCTCTCAACCCATCTTGAACAACTAGATTGATGATGTGAGCCATACATCTCACATGAACCTTCCATCAAGTTAGTGTTCCATCTAGTAAATTGCTTGGATAACTCTCTAACCATCACATCATTAGAACTCGCATTATCAACTATCACAGTAAATACTTTATCCACTCCCGATTCAAGTAAACTTAGAAATACCACTAGCTAAATCTTGACCTTTATGACTAGTAATTGCACAAAATTTCAATATCCTTTTATGCAATTTCCAATTCTTGTCAATGTAATGGGTTGTAACACACATATAATTAAGACGGAATTACGTAATAATACACTCCACAAGTTAACCTTGCAACCGGATGACCCAGATTTAAGTTTACAAATATGTAGCCCAATATTATTTGGCTCAAATCCGAAAAAAATCTTCATGCCCTTTTTATTATGACGCAAATTTTTCATGGTTTTTTTGTTCTATTTCTTACCCAAGTTTATACATTCCTATCCCAGCTATAAACATACAAAAAACAGACCTAAATCTCTTATTTTCCAAGTTCTATATAGATGAATTTGCTCCAAAGTTTCTGATTTGACAGAAACTCAACAAGAAAAGAAAAATTTGAAAATTCATCATTTAGTAGAGAAATCAACGAAAAAATTAACTTTATATATAAATTGTTAGATAAAAGTGAGAAAAATACAAAAATTCTATTTTACAGTTTTAACTGCATCTGTACAGTAATGTATATTGATGTATACGTTTGTATAAACTTGTATATGAAATGTTGAATAATGTATACCAGTATTTCTCTAGGCAAAAAAAAAAAAAAGCAAACTCAGTAGTTAATAAAAAACTATAGAGAATACGAA